AAGGAACGCTGAGATAAAGGAATGAACAAAGTATGCAAGCTGCAGAATGGGTTTTAACATTTTTGCTTATGATGGAGTATTTTGTTTTATTGTTACCTTTAAGAAAACATCCATTTTAGTGCAAGGAAATATATAACTCTCTTAATAATAAATATATTAAATAAGTAGATTCTGGTGCCATTAAGATGTGCTACTGAAGAAAGAGCTTAGTAGCAGTTTTACTCCTTAGCTATGTGTTTTGTGCCACATGACTGCATATGATGTCTCACATACAAAACATGGATACAACATAGTTAATGTTACTCAGCTGTCTTCATTTTACAGACAGTAAGAAAAGCTGGTAGAAGTTCTAAGCTCGAGCCATTGAGCCAAACTATCGACTGATAAATTATGGTCACCTTTCTAGAAAGGACCAAAGCGTTGGCATAGTTGGCTCATTTAAAGGTATGCAAACTATCCATTTAAAGAGTCCACAAAACAGTCAGAATAGAAATATAATAAATGAATAACATTATGGTTAATTGAAAAATAATAACTCCAGTTTCCAAAATAATTATAAACATTATTCCAGTTTCAAAAATAAAAATGGAAAGCTTCAAAGCTAGCTGGATGGAAAGTCAAGATCTTTGTTAGAAATATGCCTGCATTGTGGGCCAAAGAAAATTAAAAGGTCAGAAATGAACTACCACCAAGTATCTCTGCAGTTGTAATAATGAAACAAATACCTCACATTTCCCTAAATTGTTTAGACATCCATCTAACCGTAAGATCAGTTTTTAACCAATTAAATAGTAGATTATACAGTGGTACCTCGGGTTAAGAACTTAATTCGTTCTGGAGGTCTGTTCTTAACCTGAAACTGTTCTTAACCTGAAGCACCACTTTAGCTAATGGGGCCTCCTGCCGCCGCTGTGCCACTGCTGCACAATTTCTGTTCTTATCCTGAAGCAAAGTTCTTAACCTGAGGCAATATTTCTGGGTTAGCGGAGTCTGTAACCTGAAGCGTATGTAACCTGAGGTACCACTGTACCTGCAAAATGGGGCAAGAAGGGGACAGGTACACCAGTCTGGAACGGGTCGTAGTAGTGCCCAGATGCTGCTATTTCAATAATGTTTGTTCCTCTGGCTCATCTTTCCTGCCATGGAATCATCTAGTTTCTTGGACCTGTCAGCTACCGTTTATCCAGAGCCCTGCCAGTTTGAGTTGAATGTGAATAGGGTAGAAGCATACAGCCCATGTTCTATACTTGCTTTGTCACCTGAATTCCTGTGGTTAAATTGGGCAAATAAAATAAGATCTATAGGATTTTTCAGGAGATTGGTGTCAAATTGGTTTCTATCATCCTTTCATGTTGTTCTTACATTTGTTAACGAGAGAGAGAGAGAGAGCTTAAAAAACCCTCTATCTCCCTGCAAAGGTCTGTTGCATGCTGAAGGTACTTAACCAGATACTTAATTTCATTTGGGCAACATGTTTAAAATAATTTCCACCATTAAAAAAAATCTATGTGGACGTGTTGTGATGGAGTGGAAAATGTTATCTTTATTAGCTTCCCCCCAAATTATCAGCTGTGTGGAGATACCGTAATGTTTATTGTGACTACTTAATTAATCAATTGGTTAACAGCAAGATAGTTAATTGACGAAAATATTTTACTTGGTTGACAGCTCTAATAATAGCTTATGTATTGTTGCAATAAATTGTTCTAGGAAATACTATTCCAAATCCTTCTCTGCCAGAGAGACAATCTCACGTGTTTTGGGTGTAAGGTTTCTGAATATTATTTGGATAGTATTTAGTTTCATGTATTCAACATGGACTTCAGTTGCATTTTACATTTGCCATATCATCATAACAATGAAATAGTTATGTCTTATTCTTACAAAGAAGGGACTCCAAATAGAGAGGGGTCTTTGTCATGGCTGCATTATAAATAATGCTGCCAAACCATTTGGGATTATCAGCAAAAGAACTTGTCAGCCTCTTGGAGAACAGATGCTTAATTAGGGGTTGGATGACACAAATGGGCGCTTATTAAGAGAGAAACACCTGTTTTGGGTAAGGGGGGTAAGGCTTTGGAAAGAGCCAACACCAACTGGAATAGCTTTTTCACCCACCTAACCCAGTATGACAATTCATGTGTTCATAAAAGGAATAAAACATGACTAGTTTATAAAGAGCAAGTTCGACAGAGCAAATGAGTGATCTTTCAGAATAAATTTTCTCCGGCTATTGTTGCTGCTGGGACTTATCTAAGGAGATGGTTATTTTGATCGTAATAGAATTGAGTGGCAGGATTTATCTGCATTCATTTGGCTTGGAGAGGCGGGTGGGGTGGGGTGCTGAACTTCTCACAAAGTAGGAGCTTGGTGATTTAGTAGGAGCAGAGCTTATAACTCCCTCCTGTACATTTTTATACTTATATCTACGTAGGAGGGTCACTGGTGGCTAGTAATCTATTGTCTTGGATTATTTACATTTGGTATATTGCCTTAGACTTTTTTGCTGAGCGAGCAGGATATAAATATCTGAAATTTTTAAAAAAGGAATCTTGGGTGGCTGGGAATTAGCTATTGCTGAGGTTTTGCCAGTACAAAAGTCCTATTGACCATTAGAGCCAGGAGAAAGCCAAGTTTACATCACAGCACTTTTTAAGCCTTCCACTGGAATTTCATTCATGAAGTCAGTAACAGCAGCTGCAACAAAGAAAAAATGGCTTTTCTCTTTAAACAGAATTCATTTTCTTAGTTTGACGGTGAGAACACTGATTTTTATAGAAGCATGTGTGCATAGGGTTATCATACTCTTTTTTCACCATTAAATGGTGCAACATTAAAATGCTCTGCGCATGCTCAGGAGCCTGGGTTTTTGTTTAAGTTGTAGGACAGAACTCTCTTACAAGCTGGCCTTTGAGTTCTCAAAGAAATAGGGGTGGCAGACATTTTTTCTTCTACACCCTAGAATCCCAAGTATCTGATATCTCAGCACCTTGGAAGGAATTAGCTTGCCATCTCCACCTTAGATTTTATCTGTACAGTGGTACCTTGGGTTAAGTACTTAATTCATTCCGGAGGTGCGTTCTTAACCTGAAACTGTACTTAACCTGAAGCACCACTTTAGCTAATGGGGCCTCCCGCTGCTGCCGCGCCGCCGGAGCACGATTTCTGTTCTCATCCTGAAGCAAAGTTCTTAACCTGAAGCACTATTTCTGGGTTAGCAGAGTCTGTAACCCGAAACGTATGTAACCTGAAGCGTATGTAACCCAAGGTACCACTGTATGTACTCTTCATTACTATAACACTCAGCCTATTTTTTCTCTAACTGCCACTAATAATAATAATAATAATAATAATAATAATAATAATAATAATTGCCTGCCCTTCACCCACCTTAAAGTCCCAGGGCATGTTACAACAATTAAAAATTATATTAATATTAAAATGCAATAGTACACAATATCAAAAACAGTTTAAAACACCTTAAAACTACAAAACTAAAGTTGGTCCTAAAAATGTACAGTACACCTTAAGTGTTAAATGCCAGGCTAAAGAGGTGTGTCTTCAGAATTTGCCAAAAGCTGCTTAATGAACCTGCCAGATCCACCTCCATGGGATTGGAGTTCCACAACTTAGGCACTGTTTTCCTATGTGTCTTCTTAGATGTATAGCCTGAACAAAAGCAGCTGGGGAACAACAACTACAAAGTGCCATTGCCCTCTTGTCCTGCTTGTGGTCCTCTAGTTGTCCCCTGTGGGAAACAGGACACTAAACTGGCTAGGCATTTTGGCTGATCCTGCAGGGTTTGTCTTGTGTTGTTGACCTAACTCTCACCATTCTTAGAAAGAGTAGCTTCATTACTTAAATCTCATAAATTATCACTTGGTGATGGGCAGATCAATCCTAACATCTGATCCATGCTGCTGGTTGTGATTAGGATGTAGCAGACGTTTTTGTCCACCTACCCTTACCAGTTGTGGACAGCCTCAATTCACTTGCCAACAATGCAGGCTACCACCAGTGTAGACCCCAACAGAGGGTGGGATGAGAGTGGAGAGGGTCCTCATCTAGGCTTTCCTGCTATGCCAGCCTCAAGCTAGCAAAGCAATGTTTGGGTAATGAGGTCCTCCCCCACCTTCCACCCTGGCTGGTGTGAGAAGCAGAGACTTGGAGGAGTGGAGAACCCCCACCAGTCCATTCAGCTCAGTCAGTAGAGCATGAGTCTCTTAATTTCAGGGTCATGGGTTCAAACCCCGCATTGGGCAAAAGTATTCCTGCATTTCAAGGGGTTGGACTGCATGACCCTTGTGTTCCCTTCCAACTGTACAATTTTATGATTCTATGAAAACCAGGCCACTAGCCAGTGTCCAAGTAACCTTTGGCCTGCTGACCCTCCTGTGTGCATGGTTTTTTTAATCCATTCTATAATATCAAAAGAGGGAACTCCCACAGAAAAAGACATTATCCTTTATAAAGGTTTAATCTCATCATACAGACGCAGTTGGCCTTCATCTCTCACCATGCCTCCGCTTCCAGAGCAGTCATTTAAGCTCTGCGTTTGTTCTCTGTGTAGGGAACTGAGGACAGAAAAATAACGTGAGAGGGGTTGCCACATTAGCTTCCTACAACACAAATGGCAATGAGCAGTATAAGCTTTCATGGACCACAGCCTTTTCACCAGAAGCATGGGAGTGGTAACCTCAATAGATAAATATTTATTGGGGTAGGTATGCACCAGCCACAAGATTCTACTTGTAGTTGTAGCTGTAGCTTTGGGAAGCAGCCAAATGTGTTTTGGAGCCTTTATGTGGCTTTCCGATTGAACTCATTATTTGGACTGAATTAGGTCTGTTAAAAGTCTTTGCTCCTCACAAAAGTAGTAAATGTGCAAATGTGCATTGAAACACAGTGGGGATGAACCAACGACCTCAGAGCATTTGAAGCCACTAATGTGTACAGAGTCCAAAAGGCTAATCTATACAATATATTACTGCTCAAATGATGAAAAGAGCATTGACACATATCCCCCACCCAAAGTGTATAAGACAGTTCCACTAAACATGGACATGGAAATACATAACACCTGAAAGCAGCATTTTGTTGACAGTGAATGCTAAGCAACTTTGTAGCCAGAGTTTCTTTTTGTGCTTTCAGATAAACTGTGCTGTGTCTTCCAGGTAAACTGCAGCTTCCAACAGGTGCATTCCAGCATGATGGAGTCAGTTCTGCTCCCATGGGCGTCACTCCATCTTGTGAAGCAATGCTTCACTTCAAAATTCCCCTGCATAGGATCTGACACAGGGATCTTGGAACCAGCATGAGAAGGAGGCTTCCCTCATGCCATGAATGCAGTTGCTGCCATGGAGCTTTCACCCAGGTCTCTTCTTCATGTGAATGCTGTGTTGCATAGCAGCCTTGATCCCTTGCATTCCAAAGACTTCTCTGCAGTCTGTCTCCTACAGCATCCTATGGCCTTTTGGGGGCTGTAGGAGTAGTAAAAGCTGCCAGCAAGCTGTGCTGGTTATAATTTATGCTAATAGGCAAATTTAGAGCTTTCCTAGGAATTGCTTCACAGCTAGCCATCTGATTATCATTCTGGACTTATGTTGTGGCATTTTCAAAACATGTTCCAAACTTGGAGCCAGGTAGCATTATGCTGACCATTCCACGGCAAATGGCATGGTTTGCAAGCGCAGGCCAATGGCCGAAAATCAAGTAAAATTTAACATGTAATCAAAGCAATATGAGAACTGTTTGCAGTGCAGTGCCACTTCTTGTTAAATCTGCCTCAAGGGTCATTGTGAGACTTAACTACTGTTTGTAAAGCACTTTGCAATCCCCCTGCGGAAGGTAATACAGAAAGACAGTGAAAAGCGTCTGCACACACAAAAGTACTACATATAGAGAAATAATGAAGTGTTTCTCATTTAACTTCTGTTTGCTTTTTTCCTTTGTGTGAGCCTCTCTGAGGAACTCATAAGTTACATTCCTTTTCATGTCATTTTCTGTTATCTTCTGTGTATTAAAATAGTGTCTATGTGCTCTTGTATATAACCCCAGCTGCTAATGTGGTTCATAATATCATCAAGTTGAACTGATGGTTCATAATGTGAGGTGTCTGTCTATAACCCAGTCAGCATATTTTACTAAATTCTCAAGAATTCACATGGAAAAGCATGGAAATCTAGAAGCTTAAATTTGTGAAAACCTTGGTTTTTAAAATCTCTAATAGATGCAGAGGGGATTTGAGCGCATGGCTTCAGTATAAAGAAGCAATAAAAACGTTCAATGAAACATTTTAGTGTCCCAGTCATTTATTGTGCCTTGAGTTTTCATAAGCATTGGGATACTGAAAAGATGATGCATGCTAGAGGCATTGTTAGGTACTTAAAGGACTTGGGCCACAGCACTATGATGCAAACTTGCACAAAATGTATGTACAGTAGTACCTCAGGTTACATACGCTTCAGGTTACAGACTCCGCTAACCCAGAAATAGTACCTCGGATTAAGAACTTTGCTTCAGGATGAGAACAGAAATCACGTGGCGGCGGTGTGGCAGCAGTGGGAGGCCCCATTAGCTAAACACACACAGAAAATGGTGCCTAGACATTCCGTTGTGGCGATCACAACCTAGGTTTAAGGTTCAATTTGGTGAATAGCTTACATACCTGAGCTTCTCCAGGTAGGGCTGGGAGAGAATCCTCTCTTGAAACCCGGAGAGCTGCTGCCAGTCAGAAGTAGCTGGGTCAATGGTCTGACTCAGTATAAAACAGTTTCCTGCCATCTGCCTAACCCAACTCCCATGGTTCTTTTGCATTTGCTCTTACTGGGATACAAGATGCTACCCTCCTAAGGCTGGCAGGCAATATAGGTTCTTCTTCTGATGTGGCTACTGCCCACTTTGGTAGGCCTTCTTTTCCCCTCAAGACCTTGCAGAAGTTTGAAAGCAGACAATATTTCTTAACTAAACAGGCAGGCACCCAAAAATGTAATCCTGCATCAGAGAATTTACAAACCAGTCAAAACAACATAATCCACCCCGTTTAACATGTGTGAAGGAACACAGACTTTTGGACAGCACATGCAAGAACAGTGATACTGATGAACCAAGCAGTGCCTTTCATTCATTTGCCATCAAAGATAGAGGGGAGGTTCTTGTATATTATAGTGAGGCAATGATCTTTGACCCACTGACTCGAATGCCTGCAATTTCATCCCAAGTACCTGAGGAAATTTGGGGTTACGTTGGTTCCCACCCACCCCTTCCGCTTCTGCACTTTCAGTTCCCAGGCACAATATATGCCTAGATAAATCCTGTAATGGCAGTGTCCATAAGCACAGGTGTTGACTCTGCTTTTTCCAAGCAAAATTAGAAGTGCTGATGCCTCATAGGCGAAAGGTTGCTCTGTAGAGATCAGCAGCAGCAGCTCGCTTTGCATAGATGTTTCAGATCAAACACCTTTTGAGGTTTTCCCCTTCATTACTGCTTCTTATCTCCTCATTCTCAGGGGCAGAGGGATTTGAATATGAGCAAGTTCCCACTAGTTTCTCAGGGGTATGAGTTCATTAGAGTGTGGAATACATACGCTAGACTTAATAGTGGAGTGAGAGAATGGGATGAAGTGCATTGGGGGGGGGCGGGGGAGGAAACAGTGGGATCTTTTGCTGTTACTGGCTCTGTCCACAGCACTCCAATCTTGGAAAACAGATAATTTTGCTCTCCTCTGGAACTTCCACTGATGCCAAACTCAAGAGAGCTGCCAGCCTCTCTGAGATTACCACCAGTCCAACGATACAGATTTGCTGGTGTACACTCCGCTCAAACTCTCCTTCTTCAATGAAAGTCCTCTATTTAAATTATACAAAGGTTATTTGCTTGGAGGTCGTGTTTATTCATTTGTTTGTTCTACAGCTACTACAGAGTTTTTCCATGAAGGGGAATAACAATCCAAATTAATGAGATGGTTGGAGTAGATGCAACTTTCGTTGGCTCTCTCTTTGCAATCTGAATGAATGTTCATTTGTTTTATTTACTTACTTAGATACTTCTATAGTACCCTTCACCATATGGGCACAGAGTGATGTACAGTCGTACATTGGAAGTCAAACAGAACCCGTTCTGGAAGTCCATTCGACTTCCAAAATGTTCGAAAACCAAAGTGCGGTTTCTGATTGGCTGCAGGAAGCTCCTGCAACCAATTGGAAGCTGCAGAAGCCCCGTCGGATGTTCAGCTTCCAAAAGAACATTCGAAAACCAGAATACTCACTTCCTGGTTTCAATCATTTCGGAGACGATTTATTTGGGAGCCAAGGCGTTCAAGATCCAAGGTATGACTGTACTACATATTAAAGTGCATCAATACATATTGTAAAACCAAGTCAATCAATACATAGTGAACACAACACTAATGAAAACAACAGCAACAGAATAATGGGTACAGTACAAAACTGACCTCAAACAAATCATACCTTCTCACCTCCAAAAGTGAATGAGGTGAGTTTTTACCTAACCCATAAAAGATTCTAACATAGAGGAGAGATGTACCTCAGTGGGTTGATTGCTCTGCCCCCAGCTATATTATTTCTCATTTTCCTTAGAATGATTAACAAACAAACAAATACTTGACTCACTTCAAACTAACAGTGCAATCCGACACATGCCTATGCAGCAGTAAGTCCAATTGAATGGGACTTAAGAAACGTTCTGATGCAACTTGTCCACCATTCAGGCCAAGGCTGTGGGCAAATGACTGTGTTGTTATGGACACTGCCAATACAGGTTTCATCTTGGCCAGTACTGCTGGTAAAATTGAGTTGGGGAGAGACCAAGCTAACTCTGCACTTCCTCAAATGCTTGGGGTGAAATCGCAAACAATGGAAGCAGTGGGTCAAACCTGGGTCTGATAGATGGGCTTTCTCCAAGTCTTAAATTGGATGTCTTTACATTATTTTTAGAGGGTTGGATATGCGTCAGGGGAAAGCGTTGTGGGATTGTGGTCCATATCAGAAAGGGATATGTTCCACTTAACCCCTTTAACTTTATGCCCTTTGGTAGGTGGGTTTGGGGAGATATTAGTACTTAGTCTTCCAAAACTCCTAAAACCATTTATAGTGTTCAAATGTCAGAGTGGAGAGAGACTGCCTCGGTTTAATGTATTTATTTGGCTACTTTTAACTTCCTTTGGTATAAGGCCAGCAGGAATCAAATATAATAGTTGTAAATAGTCTGACAGCTAAGGATAGATAGATTCACAGCACTGTGAATCTCAAAACTGTGTAAATGTAAGTATAGTGGCTGTCCTACCAAACACTATCAATCTTTGCCTATGGACCACAGGAAAGGAGTCCCAGGTTCTGGTTTTTTTTTGGGGGGGGTGTTAAGAGAGAAATACATTCCTGCACACACATTCCTTCAACATATTATTCATTGGCTATTCTTGCTGAGATGTTCTTTGGGGCTATGCAAGCCCTGAAGCTTAGTATAATAAAAAAGAATCAAAGGCAATATTTCTGTTCCTGCAAATACTACACAGAGGATGGCTCAACATTTAGCGGAGCTGACCCTATTAGAGCAGCCAAAGTGCTGCCAAACGTGCCTCTGTGATCATCCTTTTTGAAAGGATATAAAATTATTCATCTTTTTTCAGGGAGAATAAATGATCTCTGAGCCAATCCACGTAGAGCAGAAATATGCTAGAAAGGGGAATCAGCTTTATATAAATGCTGCCCGTTCCTTTTAAAAATAATGGAGGGAAAGGGAATGAGGGGTTAGTTTTACACACACACACACACTGCACCCCATTCCTTTTCTTTTCGTTACATATTTACCATCAAAGCAGAATGTTTACATTTTGGAGATTTGTTGCTGTTGTCAAAATCTAGTTTTTATAATGTCATAAACTAGCTTTCTTTCTTTCTTTCTTTCTTTCTTTCTTTCTTTCTTTCTTTCTTTCTTTCTTGTCCAATCACCAAGTCATTTTGTGAAGAGTGCCATAATCTGGGGGCCATCTTGAGATGCAATCCTGTTCCCTGTCTTGTGATCTGCATGTCAAGGTGAAACTGCAAGAATATGATAATGTTGCTATCCCCAGAAGGCGGGCGGTAAAAGATACTAATTGCATTTCACTGAAGGCTTCAGAAACAGTCAGCAGCTGGAAAGCTGAGAAGAATTTTGATGCTATTCCTATAAAGGAAGATCCATCTCCTCCCTCCAACACACCTTATTCTGTTTGTAAATCTATTATAGAACATGGGAAATGAAGAGGGGGGAGAGAAAGCATAAAACCAGCTAAAGACTTTATGATTTCCATTATATTTTGTGAGCTGTAGGTGGTCAGGAGATTATACAGAAATATCCCCTTGTTATCAGCAATAATAATTCAGTGGTTTTATTTATCACCATTTTCTTTGCACAAATATCATAGCACCCCTATACTGGGGCACCATACAGAAAATGAAATATATATGCAGTAAACTTCCAGAATAAAAGAGCAAAGAGGGACTAGGAGTGCTTGCATGGAATTGCTACACTTTGTTCACTCACTTTTTACAGGGCATCCACATGATGTGGTCGTCCAGTCATTGCTGTCCTGTTTTTCCTGTGGGTTTTCCCCATTAGAATGTGGTAAGCATGACTTCTTTCAGCAGAATGGAAGGCTAGCGCAGTCTCCATAGGTGTAGATGCTTCTCTTAGTGTTTTGTAAAGGGGGAGGTTTTGACATGGGCACTGTATGCATGGGGAGCATAGAATCCAACTCCTGGGGGCTGAGGTCCCTTTAGCTTGCCCAATGAAATATTTGAGGGGGCCAAGCCAGCGCCCTCCAAAGTTAATGGGCATTGCCATTTAAATGGAGTGCATGTGACATGCCTTGTGATCAATTATGTTGGGTTGGGGCTTACCTGGGCCCCCCAATATTTTATGCAAGTTGAGGTGGGTACCATTTTTGTGAGAGGTTTTAATTCTTGCCAAAATGTTTTCCCCAGCAAACTTTTTTTAAAAATGATAGAGAGTAAGAGAGAGAGAATTGTAACACCATAAAGCTGTAGCATTATATTAGTGATAATTAAGTTTTTTAAAATAATAATAATTAATGGCCCCACCCACAGCAGCTAAGGCATGCACACTAGTGTGTTGACAGAGCATAATGAGACGTAAGCACACAAAAAGTGCAATACTTCCAAGAGTGTGGAAAGTCAATTGCAATCTGCTTCTAGCTTATAAAAGAAGATGCAGTTGTAAATTCCAGGGAATGGTTGCACTTGCTTCTTTGGTAGTTTATTTCCTTTTTTTAAAAAATGATATTTATTGAAATTTTTTTTAGAATTACAAACGAAAACAAGGTAGAAAAAGAGGAAGAAAAAACAAAGAAAAAACTAACCACATCAAACAATACAAATTAATAAAAAATCAAAATCAAAAAAAATAACACAACACGATCAAAAGACAAAAATATACCACAAACATTTAAAAACAAATCCATTATTCTCAAATCCTTAACTGTCATTACCTTCTTTCTTTGACCTCCTCCTCCTCCCTTCTTTTGTATCCTAGTTGTTAATTGTCGCAGCAAATCCTTTCCATATTTCATAATATTCTGTCACTACATTACCTTAATCTATTTTAATCTTATCTTACTATAAAAAACCTTAAAACCTAAAACTTAAATCTTATTTTTACCAACTTCTCATAACCATAATATTCTTACATAATTCTTTAAACATTTTTGCTAAAGCCAAATAATTTCGTTCCAACATTTTTCTAACATTCATCAATTTTATAAAACAATCCTAATAATAAAAAAGAAATAAAAAAAAAATCCAATCTTCATCCAGCGTCTCTTCCTCCTGGTCCCGGGTTTTGTCAGTCCTTTTTTTCTCATCAATCTAGCGCATTAACCTGGTAATCTTATATCCGAGGCCCTTAAGTCTCTTCCATGTCCCTTCCGCGGCTCTTCTTCATATTTATAACTGTATTTTCCTTTGTCTCCTGCTCCTTTCACTCGTGGGAACTCCAGCTTAGCAATGTTTTTGACCCTTCTCGACAAATCAGCCCCTTTTCCATAGTCCACACTAAACTCCATGTGGTATTTAAGAACATGTTTCAAAGTCCCTCCAAAATTAAGAGCCCCCACAACCCCAAACATCTCACGGCCCATTGCCAGACTTGAAAAGTCCAAACATCCCTGCATAGGGGGGTCTATCCAACCCCCCATTTCCAAACCAAACCAAACTTTATCTTTCCAAATCTGGCTTTTTCCAAGTTCATTTGTCAGATCCAAGAGCTCATGTTCCTGCTGGGCCACAGCTCCCTCCATCTCTGGCGCCCAAGATTCAGCAACATCCTCTTCCCTCATCTGTTCTGTCAGGGCACACTCCTGATTTAATTCCTGAGTGGGCTCCATATAATTTCCCACTGCCTGTTCAAAATTTTTGATTGCATCAGTCATCAAGTCCGTCTTCTCATGTAGCTGTTCCAGTAGGGCACTTGTTTTACAGAGAGCACACAGCAGAGCTTCTGAATACATTGTCCTGCAAGGTCAGAAGTCTATTCCCACGATCGTAATCTGTAACAGCTGCAAGCTCCCCGATTCAGAATTGGTTACAGTTTCACAGGCTCCCTCTAGGGGAAAAATTTCTATTTGTTCTTTTCTTTCAAAGACAACAAAGTTTCCTTTTTCAGATATTTTGTCAATATTTGTTCCTTTAAAATGCGAAGGGGAACAATGGAATCACTATGTTTCTCTTCTTTTAGCTATCTGTCAAAAACGTTTGTCTCTGGTCAATGAGCTTCAAAAAATGTCAGTCCTGACACCCCGCTCCAGGATCAAGACGGTGGAAAGTTACTTTACTTTACACTCACTTCTGCAGGTTTAAACAGTCCAGAAAAAATCCCCCCTCTTCTCCTGCTTCCGAAGGGGGTTCAACAATCTTAAATGATGAAAGTTAGTCCTTTACAAGCGATTTTCTGAGCTCTAGTTTGCCATGTCTTTGCTTTAATCTATCTACAAAGAAACAGAAGGCTGACTTCCTGTTTAGACCTTCCCGTTTCAGTGCCAAATTGAAATAAACTTTTAAGTCCAATTTTCCTTTCTGCACGCAAGTCCTTATTTAGAGTCCAATTGTCCAAAATTTAAGTACTCACGGGTGATTGTTTTAGAAGCCAAATTGTCCCAGGAAAAAGGCAGCGCTCTCCGGCAATGGCTGTGCGGCTTCGCTCCACGGAAGAAGCAGTTGACTCTCAGCACCGCGCCACTTCCCCCTCTTCGCTCCGGAGCCCGTTAGTGGGTTCCTTTGCGGGTTGGGGGGCGCTAAAGGTGCCCGCCGAGTCCCATGGTCACAGGCTTCATCCGCCTGTGATTTTTGAAAGGGTCCCCGCTTCGCCGTAGCGGGAAAGACCCGTTTCCCGTGGAGCTGGTCCCTCCAGATCAGAGGGAATCCGCCATTACCGATGGTGCCACCCCGGAAGTCTGGTAGTTTATTTCCAACAGGTTGACCATTTGAGGATGGAAGTGTGCAAATGCACAATCATTAGACAATTATTATACAGTTGTATTTTAAAAACAATATGCACACATTGTGAACAAAAAGGAATGAGCAAGGGAGGCTGTAATTGTATATGAGGACAATTGGAGAGAACAGCTGAGCTCTGTTTGCCTGAGTGCCCATATAGGTCAGCGAAGGGTCCTTAGTTGAAACACGGATGTGCAGTTTACAATTATCATGGTACCAGGGATGGTATCAGGGGTAGGACTCAGTGCTCAGATATCCCTGGGCTCTTAACCTCAGTCTCAAAGCACAAGGGGTAATCCGAATTCAGCTATTTTTCTCTTCTAATACCACTTGCCCATTCCTTCCCCTAAGATGTGTCTTGCCAGCACCTTCACATAGAAAGACTAGCCCATTTCTGGCCATTTCTTCAGAACATAGCACAATTTTAGTGGAGGGTGTTAAAGTCTCCAGGGTAGGCCTTCTGTTTTCAGCTTTCAACAGATTTAACTTTAAGAACTTTCTTAAAAAAACAACAGAAAGAAGAAAGTGGAGGAGTGTATAAGATACGGAAGAAACATAAAACAGCAATGACTCGATGGGTTATGGATAAGTGGTGGAGAATTAATTAGGCTTGTCAGGCCTCCCCATTTTGCACACAAGGATATTTCAGCCAAGTTGCACCCACCTGCTTTACACCTGATATTATATATGACATCAGGTGTGGGGCAAAGATGTGGCTGAGCCAAAAGGGGGGTTGCAGGTACTTGGTGGCTCCTGCAACACCTTATTCAAATTCCCAACAATCAGCTGAGTTGTGAAGGCTTGCAAAGACCCATGCACTGCACTTTGGAATCACTACTACCAACAGATCATTGGATCTTATAAAGCCCCATGCATGCTTCTTTTCAAGCTTTAATGATCAACTGATCATCAAATCTTGCAAAGCACAGAGCTGTGCCTCTGCCTTCACAATTTGATTTCAAACCATGCAAAAAAATTTAAAATGGGTCACTGCCAGACTTGGTCTGTGGAAGGTTGCGGAGATAAGCATCTGGCTCACTGGTTGGATCTAGTTCCCCACCCTTGATATAGACAGACATGGATGTGTGCCTGTGGCCCAGAGTTTTCAATAAGTCCTTGACCGAATAATGGATGGAAAAGGTGCCCCCAAAAGACCTGTGTAGAGTGGAAAGAAGTAGCTTCTGTAGCCAAGGTGTGTGACTTGTACCTGGTGTTCTGGGACTTTCATCAGTTGCAAAGGGACTAAGCTAAACATGTTGGTATACACAACACTTAGATGAGGTTGCTTCAATTAAAGCCTTCTGCTTTCAACCTAAGCGCTAGAATGGGGGGAGGGAATCTGAGCATATTAATAAGTTTTTTGAAATGCGTCAGTCCTGTGGTTTCACTTAGAATTCATGTTCATTAAACAGGCCTTGTTGGAAACCCTTATTTCAAAACTCAACAGGGTACAGATTGAAACAACTAAAAGTATTAGATATGCAGGAAGATGTAAGATATATATGAATAGTGCTCAATTTGGATGGAGTATCAGTGAGAAGGACGCAGACAAATATCCTGGTAAACTGCCTATCATTAAAATCATTAAGTTCTCCACTTCCATACTCACACAAACAACCATCTCTCTTTCACAAACACAAAATCCCGATCACACATACTCAGTCACTTCACTCACTCCATGCACCACAACTGTAGCTCAGTGGTATAGAGCACGTGCATGGCATGTAGAAGGTCGTGGCTTCAATCCCTGCCATTTCCAGGTAGGACTGGGAGAGACTTCTGCCTGAAACCCTGGACAGTTGCTGTCAGTCCGTGTAGATAATATTGAGATACATGGGCCAGTAGTCTGACTCAGTGCAAGGCACCTTCATATGTTCAGATGATCCACTCATGAGGAAGGCACTCTGTCTGCTGTGCATCATGACAGCTGGGCTCCTTCCTTAGCTCAGATTCCTTGTAAGCAGATTTAAAGACACAGGCTAAGCTGTACAGAGGGAAGGAGCCACAGTCTTGGCTCAGCATATTGCCGCCCACCTCTTTGCATCAGTAGTGTAGGGCAGGTTCAGGGGGACAATAACTCCACATATAACAACACGTATCTATTGAATTTTCCCTTCCAAGGTCTGTGAAAGGGAGAACTCGGTTCACCCACACATTTCCAGCAAGGGAACAGAAGGGTGAAAGGGGTACAGTTACTCCTACTCTTCTTATAACTGCAGTAGTTTCAGACACAGCTTGTAACTGATACCACAGAATATGAATGAGGGGGAAGGGAGAAAGAGCCTTGGATAAAGGGGCAAAGTTGGACTGGGGCCACCCCGCCCCTCTCCTTTGCATTGTTCTGCCCTGATCTTGGTCATGTTAGACATGTGGTCAGAGGTGCCAGTGTGTCTCCAGTACCTCCTGGGACACCTCTGAAAGGTCTCAGTGAATATCCCCTCAAAAATCCACCGCACACAAGAGACTGTTTCCTCTTCCCTTTCAGTTCCAGTTTGCACTGGCTTAACTACTTCTACACTAAATATGCTACTTTAAATATGCCCCCGTTTTGTTGGATACCAGGATTGGACACTCAACATCCCTTCCATTCTGAACAGAGGAGAGAGGCAAAGAGATTCTCTCTGTGTGTGCACAACACTGGCTGATTGAGGGGGCATAAGAATTAGGGTGGCCCCCTCATTTTCTGTTCTTTGTTATGCCATAAATGCAGCAGCCATTTTTGTTATGTTGCACCCCATTTTGCATTATTCTATGCCCATTTCCAGAGCAACCATTTTGCTTTATGCTATCCACCGCCCATCAGCCATTTCATGACTAGTGTCCACAGCACTTTTTCACAACTCAATTCAACTTTAGGAAATTCCCAATGGTATGAGTGGTTTGATAGGGGGCCAGAGAGCCTCAGATGCCGGTGCTCGTCTGAGGTTTTTAAGCAGAGGCTGGATGATTTACCTCTCACAGATACTGTAATAGTGAGGGTTTTGCATCGGCACAGAGGGTTGGACATGGAGACCTTCCATCTCTATGATTCTATATTAATAATATAAAATTTATGATTGAATAAATTGCTTAGATGTTTAGGTGCTCCAGACACTTCTGTCTTTACCATGTGGCTTTAAAGCAATGTTCTTCAACCTGGGGTCCCCAGTTATTATTGGTCTACAACTTCCATCATCCTTGACAACTGGCTTAGCTGGCTGGGGATGATGGGAGTTATTGTCCCAACAACATCTGGGGACCCAAGGTTGAAGAACGCTGCTCTAAAGTCAAAGGAACAATACTGCGGGTGCAGCCCCACATTCCAGAGATGGTGACAAATGGTGTGGGTAAATGCAAACAGAGACACAAATACTTGCAGAAGCTCATGGCAGTGTGCATGGAGTTCCTCCCCACCCCACCCCATTTTGTCATCAAAACAATCCTATGAGGTAGGTCTGGCCAAGAGTGTGTGATCGGTCCAAGGTCACCCAGAGAGCTTCATGGCTGAATGGGGATTCACATCTAAGCCTCCCCTGGTCTTAGTCCAACCCTCCAACCCAGACTTTCCCAACCTTGGGACCCCAGATGGTGTTGAACTACAACTCCCATCATCCTTGATCACTTGTTCTGCTAGCTAGGAATGATGGGAGTTGTAGTCCTACAACATCTGGTTGAGAAAGGTTGCTCTAACCACACTGGCAATTAACTCCT